AATTATAATTATCATGTGCATGATGACAACCGCATTATATTGTACTCATATATTTATATGTATTGAATATTAATATATTCTTATATATTTTTAATAAATTCTTAATAATTTTATATCTTTCAAGAATTGATTTTCTATCTCAAAACCAAAAAGTAAAAGTTGATATACAAAAATGTTGATTGAATTATAAACAATTATTATAAATAATTTTATTTATTATAAACAATTTTAGATGAAGACAAGAATGGAATGTAACGGACAGTGAAAAAAAAATTACTTATAATTTAATAAATACGATAGTATGCTCACATTTCATATTTATTTTGGCTTTGTAAAATTTTGTAAAATCGATCTTTCAAAAATGTCCCACGAATATATTGATATTCTATATAATAAATCCAAATGATAAAAAATGATTTTTAATGTCTAAACACAGTTAGAAATAAATTTTGCTGTTTGGTATATGTAGATTGTCATATTTTTAATTAGCTTAATTAAAATTAATTCATAAAAAGAAGAAAAAAAAGTCTCATCTCATTTTAGATCATCTTTTATTAAATTCGTGTTAATTGGATTAAAATGTTTCTTATAAATATATTTCAAGGTCATTAAAAATCGACGATAAGGAAAGATATCATAAGTTTATCTAACGTTAATTCTCAATGTTAAATGAATATATAAACAATATATATCATACAAAAATTCAATAAATTTTATATTATTATTATTATTATCATTTAATTACATAAATCAATATATTATAATATTATGTTATATATCAATATATATAACATTAAATATAAAATGTATTTTAAATAAAATTGATATTAAAAATATTATATTATAACATACGGATAAAAAATGTAAAATATATATCTTTTGTCGTATTTATTATTTTATTTATTTTATTTATTATTCAAATACATGTTATAATAAAAATTATATTTATTTACTCTAATATATTTTATTAATATTATTTTCCAATATTATTATTGAAAATGATATTATTTCCAATATTATATGCATTGTTTTGTTTCTTATTATATATATATAAAATTTGTAATTTTATAATTCTGTTACAGTAATAAGAATGTATAATTGTCAAGAAATTCACAATCAATTATCTATTTATTTTCAGCATTGTTAAAAGTTTTTATCACGAAAAATCTAAGATTCTTAAGAATATATTATTATTCATAGATCATGTCAATATATTTTAGACATAAGAATTAAAAAAATTTAATAATTTTATGTAATTCAAAATATGATAAAAATATATATCAAATTATATATAATACTTATTTAACGTGATAAAATAATAGAATTTTTAATATTTATTTAACATTATGAATTAATAACATTAATATATTTAACAGTGATCAATAAGAAAAATTTTCATCAAAAATTATATTATATTTAACATTTTGAATTAAAATGAAATTTAAAATGTAATTAATTATAATAATGCAATATTATTAATAAAGAAGATTAATTTATTCTTCTTACAAAAAAAATTTACTAATATAATTACATTAATTATCTTTAAATATGTATTTTTTTTTTAATATGTATCTATATACTATTAGAAAATATTTTATTAAATTGAAACTAGAAAATAAAATATAAATTGCACAAAAATATGTATCTAAATAATTTTTCAATAGTATGAATCAAATATTGCAACATTTTTTTTACATTATTAAAAATAAATTTTTCTTTAAACATTTTTTCTACTTATATGAAAACATTTAAAAGAAAAGTTTAAACATTATTTCTTATTTAATTTCTGTATAAAATAAAATATCTTATTTTCTTCATTTAACTTATTACACAATTATCTGGTTTCATATATTTTATAGAATGTGTAGTTTCAGTAGATGTAGTACCAGTTGATGTAAGAGAACTTCGACGTGGAATTGCAGGCATAGTAGTGGTAGTATCTAAAAATTCATCATCGTTATCAGAATCAGTATCTTTGTCTTTATTATCTTTTAATTGTTTTCTTGGTATTATATCATGAATATATTTTTCAATCATTTGTCGATTTTCAAATGGAAGGGTATTGATTTTGCCTGGTACATAAGGTAAGCTATCATTCATTTCTTGTTCTTTAGACATTGTTTCAATATACATACGTTGTAATTCAACTAATGCTTCATCCATGAAACGTACATTTTGTTTATGATCTGGCATAGAATTACCACATATATTCAATCCAATAGATTTATATATTTCATCTTGTTTTAAATTTGTAGTGTTTGTTTCTGATTTTATAAAACTTATAGGATAATTAGATTTTTGATTTATTGTATTATATGATGAACCATATGTTGTTCTATATGCATTTGTTGGATCTTCATATTTGTTTAATATTCTGTCTCCAATGTGATTTTGATCATTTTTTTTATGAAATTCTTTAGGTTTTTCTGTTGTGAATACTTCATTAGAACTTGGATGTATACTTTGTGCATTTACATGATGTTTTTGTATGTTTGATTGAATTGTATGTCCAAGGTTTTGCTGTTCATTTTGTATTCCAACATTTTTCCATCTTCCTGCATTCATTAGAAGTTGAGCTAATTGTTGAATTGTCTGTTTAGGTACTGTTACAGATGTTTTTTCATTATTATTAGAAGCAATTCCTAACTTTGCTGGTGTAGATGTATCACAGGGTTTATCAGATATGTAAGTAGTCTTTATATTCAATTGTCGCAAATGTTCATAACTTTCACCTTGACCTGCTAATAAATCATCATCAATATTTTTTAAATTCTTTTTATTCATATTTATGGTATCATAATAACTCATAAGTTGTTCTGCAGTACGGCATTCATTTTCCAAAAATGCAGCAGTTAAAATCATTGCTGCAGTAGGTTCTCTTTGTGTAAATAATCTCCTTCGTGCATGTAAATTCTGGCTTAGTGTTGTTTCAAGACGAGCATTTTCTATTTTTTCTTCTAATTTTTTCTCTATTTCTAAAAATTTTTTAGTCTCAAATATCAAAGTTTCTGTATCTATAGCTCTTTCCATTTCTTTAGCTATACGTCTTTCTGCAGATGATTGAGTTCGAATTTCTGTAGATGCAACAGATTGTAAACCTAATCGTTGCTGAGCTTTCACAAAGGGAGATTGCGATACTGGTCCCAATTTTGACCATATAGTACCTGGCTTTTTTATTGGACTAGATATAGGCGATACTATACCTGGTTTTGTTACTATAGTATTTTGTGCAATTAATTCAATATTGGAATTTGGCATCGTACAAGGTACACGACACGGTTTTGGAGGAACTAGATCTAATTTTGGAGGTGGAGCACCTGGTTTTGGAGGAGGTGCTAAAGATGTTATTGTTGGTTCAGGTAATGGTGGAGGTATTTCAATTTCGGTTTCTGAAGTTTGTTTTGTAAACATAGAAGCATGAACAACTTTTAATAAATCATCCAAACGATTTTCAAGCCTATTTTGACGATCTCTGTCTATATCTAAAAATCTTGTTACCATATCATTTTGTGCAGCAAGAATCTGAAATAATATAGAATTAATAAAGAAATTGTTTATAAATATAAAAATATAAAATATTTTTTTAAAAAAAAATAGTGTCCTACTTTATTAACGACTTCATTTTGAGAATTAATGGCATTTAACATAAGTTGTTCTAATTTTTCAACTTTCTTTTTTCTTAATGGTGCATGTGGAATATTATCTGTATTAACAGCAGTATCTTTTGATTTAATATCATTTTCTGATGGAGTTGGTGAATCTATTAAAAATTCTAATAAACTATCATCATTATATGTTGCATTATTTGTAATTACAGAAATTTCTGAATTTTGCATTCTTAATAGATTTGCTGCTTGTATTGTTTTGTTGTAATTTTCATTTAAATTTTGTGTTTTATCATCATTTTTTGGTAGACAAAAAGCATCATTTAAATTTTGAGATACATCTAAATTTTGAGATGAATGATCTGGAGATAAAGATTCAGTTTTGTATTGTTTTGCATCTATTAAAACAGGTATTTGAGTTGAAAAATTGCTACATGGCTGTTTATACATATTTGTAAAAGTTTGTTCTAAAACAATTTTCCGTGGTTCCTGAGGCATTGCATGATTATTTGCTGGTATTATTGACTGCAATTGATTTTGTTGAATTATATGTTCTAAATCAGAAGTTTGTATCAAATTACCATGCATTGGTACATTTATAGATTGTGTTTTTAAACCTTGATTTAAATTTTGTAGATTTTGTTGAAGATTTAAATTATTTACTAACATACTTTGTTGATTGCACATATAATTTTGTTTTTGCTGCATATTTTGATTTTGCTGCATATTCTCTTGAATTATTTGATTTTGCACATTTTGTACTGTATTTTGAAAGGGTATTTCTCCATAATTATAATTTGACATTAAATGATTTTGTTTATAATTTGGATTTAATCGTTCTTCTGTTGAAAAAGAATTGCACTGTGTTGATTTGCCAGCTATCTGAGTTAACTGTTCATTAGTATTGATAGCTACATCTCTTGTAGGAGAAAAAACTCTATATGGTCGAGCATCGATTATGGTTTCGTTTGATTCAGGAGAATCAGGATATTCATTTTCACCTAATAAAATAATATATATTTTTAAATTTTTTTTAATGCATTCAAAATAATATTTGATAAGGAAACATATTTCTTACATCCTAATGTCCAAGTAGGTGATAATGCTTCTGTCCGATGAAGTGATGGCACAGGTTCTTGAAGTTTATGTCTCATTTGCAAATTTTTATTTGTCTTTATTTCTTTTGAAGGAGATTTAACATTTATTGTTGCATCTAACAAAATAATTTAATTATTATTTTTTAATAATAAAAAATATATTATCAAAAATAATTAATTTAAACTCTAAATTATTTATTTCCATAATTAAAATGCCAATAAATCAAATAAAATAACAATAGAAATTTATAAATTTTTTTTTCGCTATACTTTACCTACAGTATCTATGCCAATAAAATTATTTTCTTCGATACGTTTGTTTTTAAGAACTCTATCTATTGATTCATAATATTGTTCTACTCCAGCTCGAGTACCAGCTCTTTTAGCTTCGCGATAACAAACTAAAACCTGTTTCATTCGAGATCGACATTGTTTACCCGAAACATTGTAACCTTTTTTTTTCATATATCGTGCAACACTTTCCCAAATAAGTTGTGGTTTCGAAGCATATTCGAGTTGTTTTTGCACTTGTCTATCTGACCATACTGATACTAATAATGAAGTACTTTCAGGAGTCCATTTATATTTAATATTACTTCCAGAATCACTCATTTCACAGTAAATAATATTTATTTTCTTTTTATTAAATATATAGAAATTAATATAAAAAATTAAAATACAATATATTCACAATTTGCTATATATATATTTAACATATCAACAGGTTGCAATATACAAACTCAAATTCACGTAATAAGTAACGCCGAATTCTCTTTTCCTTCAGTGCATACAATCATGCACTCAGATCAAGTGACTCTAACCGACGAATTCAAACTTTAAATCATTGTGCAACAGGTAGTGGGGAAAGATACAAGATATGTAGAAGGCAATACATTTGGATAATATAAACTCATGGAGAAAACTTAAATGCATTTTATAAAAATTAAATGCTTTTTATAATATACATTATAATATTTTTTTATATATTATTATTTTAATATATATTATTATTTTAATTGTATATTTCTTTTTATTTTGAATTTTTTAGAAAATTGAGAAAAAAAAATTATATTTTTTATAAATTTTTTTAAATACATTTGTATTATGAGATATAAGCAAAATATTTTCAATTGATATAATCACAATGACATAAACAATATTTCTATAATTTCTATAATCTATAATTTGTATTTGTTTTTTAACAATTTAATAATTATCTATAATTATTTTATATTTTAGTTTAATAAAAATAATATGAATAAAATATAGAGAAAAAATAGACAAATAATTCATATATATTTATTTATAATAGATATCCAACATTATCTTTTACTCATAAATGAATGATATTATATTTTTCCATTTTTTCTGTTATCTATGTTTCATTTTGACTTATACAAAAAGTTCATAAATTCTTATATACGAGCCATATCTATAAATGTACAATAAAACTTTATTTATGTGAATTTAGGGAATAAACACATTTATATAATTTAACTATAAACTTTATATAATAAAAGTCTAATAAAAGTAATTTCTTTATCAGCTCAATTTTTTTGCTCAATAAATAGATGTTTATGTTCATATAAAAGAATTTTCTAAAATATAATAATGTATAAAATATTATAAATATAAAGTATAAATTTGCAAATATAATGTTTATCTATTTAATCTTTAATAAATTAATTTTTTATTTATTTTGTATTGTAGAATATACTTATATAATGTATAATGCATTTTTAATTATATTATATTATAAAGATTATAAGTAGACGAATATTCGATTTATTGTTCAGATAATAAGAGTTCAGATAATCAAATACTACGTAAAATTTTGTTTATATAAATGAAATTCATATATATATATATATATATCTAAGAGATAGATTGTATTTCGATTGTTATGTTTTTACACATCGGTTTTAAAATAAATAATATTATACACGAATTGAAAGAAAAATTTTACATTTATTATATTATGAAATACGAATTATAAAATAATATATTACATAATATTTTGTGAATAATTGATATGAATAGTATACTAATAAGAAAAAAGTTAGAATTCACGAAATTCATTGAAAATTTTGAATTTAGTTGCTGTTGTGATAAATAGAAATTTTGCGAATTATGAATAGCCTTTAAATTTTTGAAAAGATAAAAATTTAGCTTGTTTGCATTGTAATAAGCAGTAAATTCCGTTAAGAAATCTCCTGGTTTTCTTCAATTTGAATCCTGTATGGTTTGTTGTATCAAATATGATGATAAAACGCTTCCATTCCACGCTTGGAAGAGAATTAGTATATTTTTTCTAATAAGAATATGATTTACTATTAGATCATGAAACTGAAAGAAAACCTTAGATCTAAAAAGAAAAATTAGAACAAAAATTTCAAAAAAGAAATTTTTATGTTTAAAATATATTTATGTTTTTAATAACTAACTAACTAACTCTCATGAGTTCAATTTACAATAAAATAATCTTGGCAACTGAAAGTTATTTCATACTTTATTGTACAATGTAGTTTAATATTCTATGAGCGTCAACTTATGCTGAATAATTTTTTCCTGGATTATTAAATAACATAATTCATTATCTATGATCTTCATTAAAGAATATTTGTGATATTTGTGATTATCATAAAAATGATTGTTGGTCATTTTGAATATCAAAACTAAATCTATCATATTGCGATAAATATTTACATTTTTATGAAAGATGCTCTAAAATAATAAAAAATAATAATATTACGTATGCAAATCACGTTATACAAGTAATCAAATTTATTTTATCAAAAATTTTGTTGAACAAAATGGCTGATGTTAATTCCTTTCGTCTTTTATTTCAATTTCAAGGAACTAGATATCGTCTTTTAGATTTGTAATTTAAGAATGGGTGCTAAATTCAAATTGTGTTTCATATTGATGATGAAGAATTTACGTATTATAAATAATATACGTATTGTACGTATTATAAATAATTTAGATTCAATTCAAATTAAATCATGTCTTAACGTAATTGTTTTATGGCTAAAATTATATAAAATTATTATTTAATTCTATTCCAAATAATTAATATTTTCAAAACAAGCGGCTGCAAGAAAAAGGTTAATATCATGATGGTAACTATATATATTTTTGAATATTTATGATAATATATTCAATTTATTCAATTAATATATTCAATTAATATATTCTTATTCTTATCGAATAAATAATTAAATATTATTATATTAATAATATAATATAATTAATTGAATCATGTGGAATTATTTAATGAAAACTAATATAAATTTGGCACGTAATAGTATTTTTATTCTGCAAATGAATTAAATAAAAATTTAACTTTTTAACTAACTTGAATTCCGGTATATAAAAATATATTATTTTGAAATATAAAATTTTTAATGCAAATATTTTTATTCCTTATTTTATTTATTATTTGTTTATGAATATTTTGAAAAAATTTCTGAAAAATTTTTAAGAAAATATTTATTTAATTTATTTTTATTATATTATTAATAAATTATAATATTTTAAAAAATTTTATTATTAATTAAATTAACAAAATTTATATAATTTTATATATTTTCATTAATTCGAATTTTTTAAAATTTAATCTCATGATTATAAGAATTTTTAGTTGTCACTATTGGTTGAAGTAAAAAATGGATACAGAGTATCAATGCTATAAAGTTAGGAGAGTATCTATTTATTTTATATATAATGACAATAAAACTTGAATGGATGCATAGTGTTCTCTGGCGGGAAATGTATGTACGTCGTATTGAAAAACGTTGTTGGAGCAGTTAAGTTATGAATAGAAGAATTTTTGATACAATATTTTGATTAATTGAAAAATATAATATTTCTATAATGATTTAAGATTGTTCATAATAAAATCAATGTTTGTAATAATGTTGGTGTTTATGATACTTGATATTGCGCGGCTATTTGAATAAATGTATAATCTATACTTAGATCATAAACATTTTTGAAATCATGGAAAATAATATAAACAATGAACGAAAAAGAAAATCTACAGAATTAGATCAATTTCAGACTAAACGCATAAAAGAAAAAAAGAATATTTTTCATTTTACGGAAGAAGTAAGTGGTTAGAGTTAATATAACTTTTTAAAAAAAATTAAAAATAACATTTTTTTTTAATATTATTCATAATAATGCAAATATAAAATTATATTTTACAATATAATATTATTTTATACTAATAATAGTTTACATATAACAATATATTATTAGTATATGATAAAATTAAAAAATGATATAATATTTATTTTTATTATTATTTTTATATTGTATTTTTATTTAATTTTAATTATATTAATAAATTTAATTTTTTTTAGATTATTTTATTTTTATTTATATATCTTTTTATTTATATTTTTATATCTTTATATTATATATATAAATATATATTTTATAGTGTAAAACAGGAAAAATAAAGAAAATTCTAATACGAAATTTCATGTGTCATGATGCCTTGGAAGTAACATTAAATCCAAATGTAAATTTTATTATTGGTCGTAATGGAAGTGGTAAAAGTGCAATATTAACAGCTTTAACAGTTGGTCTTGGTGCTAGAGCAAATGTTACTAGTCGTGGAGCATCTGTGAAAAGTATGAATATATTATATTATATAATAAATTATAATATATCATAAATAATATTTTTTTATAAATTGTAATTTTTTTAAATTGTAATAACAATGTAAATATACAATATTTACAATGTAATATTTTTATATTTAGGCTTTATAAAAAAGGGAAAAAATACAGCAACTATTGAAGTAACTTTATTTAATAAAGGATCTATGGCATATAAACCTGATGTTTATGGTGATTCAATAACTGTTTTTCGAAGTATTGGGACTACATCATTTTATAAATTAAAAAATTGGAAAGGTTTACAAAATCATTTTACATTTTACTGATAATTTTATTTTAATTTATATTTAAATGAATTTCCTTCAAATTTTTTCTATAGGAGAAGTGGTTTCAACAAAACGAACTGAATTAATTAATATATTACGAGCAATGAATATTCAGATAGATAATCCTATTTCTATATTAAATCAAGATATATCAAGAACATTTTTAGTATCATCCAAACCAGAAGAAAAGTATGAATTATTTATGAAGGCAACATTATTAGATATTATTGGTAATAATTACAAAGAAGCTGAATTGATATGTGAACAAGAATATGAAAAATTGAAACAATATAACGAAGTATGTTTTTATTACATTTTTGATATTTTATTTCATATATATTATTGAATAATAAAATTTATTTAGATTTTATCAGAGGCTAGAAAAGAAGTAGAACAACTTAAAATAAATATAAAAAAAGCAGAAGAAATTGATAAATTCCGTGATGAAGTAATTACACTTGAAATGGAATTATGTTGGGCAATTGTAAGTTATATTTTATTATATTTTTAGTATATGAAAATGTTATAAAGCAATGTTATAAAGCATTATCTTTTAATAAATAATATAATATAGGCTATATCTGAAGAAATCAAATTACGAAAAATTGAAGAAACTTTGAAAAAATGTGAAGATAATTTAAAACAACTTCAAGACACAGAATCATCTGCAGAATCAAAAGATGAAGAAATGAATAAAAAAATTCAGTATGAATTGCTTGTATCATTATTTTTACATTATATACATTATTTGTATC